AACACAGGGCTGTAATATTTGGTGGCAACAACTGGAAAAGTGAACCGACATTTAAAGTTTTCAATGCAAAATGCCAAAACGAAATTAACAATAACCCTTTGCGCTAACAATAACATTTGTGTTAAATGATAAATTCTTTATTATTTAATTTTTTAAATACATAGCGATAACATTCGATGACAACTATTCGAAAAATGGCTCGGGCAAAAATTCAGTTTTGAGACTAATAGCACCTCTGAGGCTAAAAATTAGTAATTATTTGTTTACTGAGATAAAGCTCTATCATGCTGTAAGATAAAAATCATGTACAATATGTAAGAAATATTTTTCCCGTACAAGGAAGGAAAAATAGATTAAAACTACTTAATATAATTTAAAAATAAACTTTTTTTTTTAAATATACAAAATTTGTATGTAATATGCACAATATCAAAAAATGAAACGCAAAAGTACACAAAACGCAAAACTAGAATAAAAAATAAGAAGCAGCTTGAGTATTTTTAAACAAATTGGTCTAAAAATTAAATTTAGCATATTTATGCCAAATATTGAAAAATATCGCATCTATGCAGCAAACGCAGTTATCCATTCATAAAATCGAACTTTTGTGGTATTAGTAGAATCGGATTTTGTTCCTGAAAAGTTGGTTATATTTGTAAAATTGGACAACACAATTACATGAGTAATAAAAAAAAAATGTTTTAAAATCTATTCTTACTTAGGCCAACAAAGAAAAATTTTTAAAATACAAAACAAAATTTTAAAAATGAAAAACAATTTTTTAATTGAAAATTAAAATTTTCTTAATATATTAAAAAACCGTATTAACATCAAGTGCCATCCACTACAAGTTTGACAAATGTATTTGAACTTGAATAGATGAATGAAAAGTATTTTATTAACGATTAAAAATTAATAATTAAATAAAATTTCAAGTCAATTCCTACTTAGGTCAACAACAAAAATTTAAAAGTACAAACAAAAATATTAATGTGAAATTGTATTAACATCCAGTGCCATGCACTACAAGTTTAAAAAAATGTATTTGAATTCGAGTGGATGAATAAAAAGTATTTTATTAAGGACTGAAAATTTGAAGATACAGGGAGAGTGTGAGCTAATAGTAGGAATTTAAAAAATAACCAAATCTAATAAAACAATTTTTTCAAATCTTTTGTTTGAATTATTAATCTAATTGTTGTTTATGTAAAGTTATTTCCATTATGATTATGTATATAATAGAGAAAAATGTAAGGTAGCGGGTCGATTAAGAGAACCATAGTTTTTAAAAAGTCAATGCAGGAGAAACGGTTGGGAATCTTCATCTTAATGAAACGAATGTCTACGACCATTTTGAGTATACAGGTGCATAATAAGTAGAAATGAATGTAATTCACAAGTTGGAAGGGATGGATAGAATAACGCTGGCTGCATGACAATTGGAACTAGACAGGCATTCATCGGGAACGACATGCGTGGTATGTTAAGCTTCTCAAATTTAAGCTGAAAACAATCATCGAAATGGCATGAATACTTCAGATTAGCGATAAGCATCATACAGGTCATTCGGCGTAAATTATTATCCAAAGTTTTAATTTGATTATTTTTCGGGGTAGCAGTAAGTATCGATTATGCATACCAGCACTTTGAATTAATAACAAAGCGCAAGCCAAATCTTGGATCACCAGTTATTCACTTATCCCTTTATGTGAAAAAGCTGTTGACACCTCCGTTCGGTTTATTTGGTTACGGCAAAGCACAGGAGGGCTATCTGCTTAAAGGGAGGGATGCCTTCGTGGAGCATTTTCTGAAGAGAACTGACTCGTATACACGTTACATTACCAGAAAACGGAAAAGTCCGGAACGAACAACTAGGGTTTAGAGACTTCACCGCTAGGGGGCCTGTTAAGATCTGTGTGTCGATGTTATCATCTGGATACTGCTATCGAACTGCCGAAGTCCCGCTCATCTGTATAACAAAACATAAAAATACTATTATTGGAATCAATATTTCGGTTAGTATGTTGAAAATAATTATAGAATGAATTTTTTAAACTAAAGTCGTCAAATAAGGACAAAATGAGCTATTAATAATTGACAAGTGATGGTAATGTCTCCAATGGATGCGGTTAAATCGCCAAAAAGCTTGGTTCCAATTTCAGTCAAATATTTAAAATTAGCAAAAATCTGAAAGCTTTCAGATTTTACATTACTACCCAAGGGGTGTTTCCGTAACGTTTTGTATGTTATCTTTATTCATTAAATATATATTCTTCTCACTTAAACCTTAAAATTCAATTCAACAGCAATATCGCAAGATAATTTTAAAATGAGTCTATTTTTAGAATTTCCGATACAGTCTAGCGCGTTGGAGATGAATTTTTTTTTTAAAGTGCTGCCATTGCTCGTTTTGAAATCGTTGAGTTTGTTAATTAAAAAATTAAAATTATACCGATAATAATTCCAAATTCGGGCTTCCAGATGCCTCTATTCGCAGCAGTGTTACGTCATTCAAAATTAGATGGCTCCAAGTACTGTTGTTTTATCACAATGCGAGAAACATTCATACATTCATGCAGATTCTTCATTATTTAGTTTCTTTAAATATAACACAGGGCGATAATATTGGGTGGCAACAGTTTGAAATGTGAATCAACGCAGAAAGTGAATCCAAAACAAAATTATTAGCCTTCTGGGCTAACGCTCTTTGGCCTGAAAATAAAATACTTGCCAGTGAAAGTTTGTCGCTTTAACGTTACCAGAAAATACCTCAAATTCTTTAATATCTGCCAAAGAAAATGTCGTTTAGAACAAAATCCCATGAAAAACATAAATGAAATGTTTCCTTGTGCTCTTTCTTTCCAGGTGAAAATTCGCAAAATTTTGTGAAAAGAATTGCATAATACAACGAAAAAAATAATCCATATATAAATATAATTAACATCGAAAAACTATTTCATTTCCTAGTATCATTTTTGTTAACAGTTGTATATCAATCTGCGTTCATAAATATATCGATGCATCCAAATTCTGTAACTGTACGGAGCTTCGTAAAATCTATAAATAGCATTAGTAAGTTGTATCCATTGTATTGTCGCAGCGAAAAAAAAAATCGGATGTCTGTACCACGACTTCCTTGCACGGAATATTAAATTATACACATTTTTTCCTGCATTTCATTTAAACTTATTGAATTGAATTAAATCTACTTCGTCGATGTACATGAACCACAATAGAATAAATGCGCTTTTTAAAATTCACCATAATTGTTTACCATAGCGGTAGTCTGGCGCTAAGGTTCACTTAACAGCGTTACATCTCATTCATTTTATGACTCAGAATGCTAAAAAATTATAGAATCTGAAGAATTATCCAATCGTAATTCTTCAGATTCAATCGTAATTCTTCGAGTTGCCACATGTTCTATTCAAATATTATAATAAATTTAAAACCATGTACAAAAGAAATTAGACAAAACAGAAACAAATCTTGTAGCTCTTCAGATTGGCCACAAATCCTCTATTCTGCGAAATTTCAAATATAAACAAATACGGCTGCTACAGTAAAAAAATTAAGCTCAGCCGCACTTGAACAACTTTTAAATTGTTGATAATTCTACAAATATTGCATGCAGGTTAATGTATAAGTTCCGATTAATAAAAACCGTAACCGGAACAATATAATGCAATCATTTTTACAGCAAAAAATACTTAATTTACCAACATATAAAGAACAAAACTGAGCTCATCAGAGCCCAGTAACCGAATGGGTATATGTATATGGGTATATTTATTTACTTTTAGAATGGGTATATTTATTTACTTTTGGTGCGGCCGACTTTACCAAAAAGGAAGGTGCACAACTACATCCTATATCTGTCTTATATAGAAAATTTCAACATTCTGAGGCGACTCGTTTTCGAGTTACGGGAGATACATTTTTACGTGCATACGTACGTGCGTACAGGCGCGACGAAAAAATCTCTTCTGAATTCATTTTGAATCAGTTCTGTAATTTTTTTGTGGAAAAAGAACTCTTTATTCTGTCCTTACGTACAGATGTCACGCAAAAAACATCGTTAAATTGCCTATGACAGTGGTCAAATGGATATATTTCGTTGAAATACGGTACTGGAATTTTTCGTGATTACAATATTTCCTTTAGTTCGTACAAGGACGTAAGAAAATCTATGAAAATAAACTTTAAATCTGCAAAACTGTTTTGGAGTTGAGGAAACTTAATTAGCCTGAGAAGTGTTTATATTAAAAAACGTTTCTGAAAATTATTTAACTAGCGCTGTAGCTCTAATTTTAATAATTCTAGGGAATTCCTCATTTGCCTATTTGCAAGGAATCCTTCCATTCCATCATCATCGTATGCAGAAATTTTATTACCATGGGCTTGGATTAGTTTCATAAAACAACTGGCAGTTATCTTTTGTTTCTATGAATATCCACACAACCGTTAAATTCCTGATAATTCCTGGTATTAAGGCGACTTTTAATCCATTACTTCAAGGCACGTCTTATGTGATTTAGCAATTTTCTTACTTCCAACCTCATTTGACAGTTTTAACTTTCATTTGGTGGCATTAAAAATATTCTGCGATATTTCGATAACATTAACAGACTTGCTCATCACAGGTCATCCACTATGGTTTCGAATGATCCTGGTCGTCCCTGGAGGTGGTTGTTTACAGAGATGATATATTTAATATCAGAGTTTATTTCTGTTCTCCGAATATCCATGCATCCAAGTTTGACAGTCATATTGCAAGAACCAACCACAATTCAAATATCGTCTGTTTACTGTTGCCACATATATGAAAACACATTTTAAAGCTACACAGGGTTTAGGAAAATTAACTCCAGCACACACCACAATCTCTGCTGCGCATTTCGGCAGTGCATGCGAAATCGTTTTCGGCAACTCAAACAAATCATCTATTGCTTCTAGCAAGGAAAAGCGACAAAAAAAAAAAAAAAAAAAAACTCACTCACCTGAAGAACGTTCGAAATCCTGGGGGCAACTCAGCAGATTCACTTTCGCTTGCGGCAGAGCGCGAGAGTGAAATGAGGTCCAGGCGATCGCAGTCGGACCGAAGCGCAACTTTCCTCCGCGACCTAATTTTAGGAACTACTTTCTTCCGCCTCCCCTGTCCCCTTCGCTTACCCGTGACCGGTCGGACAACGAGGAGAGAGAGACTGGAATGTCGAAAAAAAGGGAACGCTACTGGGCAGCCGTTACGTTATGCGCAGAATTACTGTAACGTCGGGTTACGTTTGAACGGGTTGCTCGATTCTCCGTTAAGAAGTCGTCTGCGAAGGACAGCTTTTCTTTTTTTTCGTTACCGAAGGACGAACGTCTCATTTCAATGCTCGCTTGGCCTGGAAATCGGCTGAGAGAGACATGCACGCAACCATTAAAGTAGGATCTGGATCAGATGTTGATAGCTTGCTCATCGAACGGACTGGACAAGTCTATCTTAATGATCTACAGCAGAGTTTTGTAAACCGTGGATCGGGACTTGAAGTAAGGGGGTCGCCAAAAATTTAGCAATTTTGACATTTTTTTAACCTATTATATTAATTTTAGAATTACCAAATATTTTTAGTCGAAAGGGGCTTTGTCCCTGAAGGACTAATAACCCAGAAAGTTTTCGTTTTGCATTTTTGCGTTGGTTCACTATAAATCTCAGTTTCACTTTTCAAACTGTTGCCACCCAAGGTTAGAGTCATGGATTATATTTGAAGAAATTAAATACCGAAAAATTTGCATAAGTGTATGTATATTTCTCGCATTGTGATAAAACAGTGCACGGAGCCATCCAATTTTGAATGACGTAATACTACTACGAATATGGGCATCTGGGAAGGCCAAATTTTAAATTTGGAATTTGTTTTATGATCGATTTCATTGCAAAATTAACAAATTTTTGATTAACCAACTCCAAGATTTCAAAATGAGCCATGGCAACGTTTTACAGAAAAAAACATTTTTATCTCTAGCGCGTGAGACTCCGTATCGGAAATTCTATTCATCTTAAAATTATTTTGCGATATTGCTGTTGAACTGAATTTTATGGTTTAAGTGCGAAGAACATGGTATTTAAATAAAGGTAAAATACAAAATGTTAAAAAAAATGCCCCTTTGGACTTAATTTAAAATCTGTCTCCTTTAAAAATAGTTTTTTCTCCCATTTTCAACATACAGTACATGCAGTAATTAAAGTGTAGGTAGACCCTTTCTTCGAGAAAAATCCAATTATCCGAATTTTTGATTATCTGAATGGGGTCCGATCCGAATTCATTCGGATAATTGGAGTTCCACCGTACTAACAAAAAATCTATTACAAATACATTTCATTTAGCAGATAATAAAACTGATTGTAAACTACCTAAATTTCGCGAAGTAAAGGTCGCGTTCAGCCCTAGCACGAGTCAAACTGAACAAAAAATTAAAGCTATCTGACTGTTTATTTTGATTTCCTACTTTCTATAACTTTTTCTGGGTTCTGGAAAAGGTCACCGTCCACTTTCTCTCAAGAAAAAAAAAAAAGAAGAAAATAGTCAAAATCAGAGATATTAATATAAAATGCTAATTTTCGCCCTCATACTTCCGACTGGCAACAGTGCTGATTCAAGAACAACGGCAACAGCAGTAATGGCTGCGCGCCATTGTTGCTGATATGGGAGAGAATTAGTTTATTTTTCTACCGAAATTTTTCGTATTTTTGAGCGATATGTGGAACATATCGCTCAAAATAATTCACTTTGCTCAAAATAATGAGGCATTTGTTTATATTTTTGCTGAACCCAAAAGGCAATTCCATGTCATATGGGTATATATACCATATGATTTTATGATTACGTAGTCAGTTGTGGTACATGTATTGATTATTACTTTGTTTCTTTGACATTTTTATGCTTTACAGTGACGCATCATAATGCTTATGACGTGTAATATGTTATGATAGGAATTTTAAAATGACGTCATAAGTAAAATAATACATTAACTCAACTGGCATCGGGTACTTCCGCTAGTACAAAATAAACATTTGCTTTTCTAAAATGCTTCTAAATTATTTTTATTAGAAATCTGCTCTCACAAATAGCACCACTTACAGCTATTTCCATGAAATTTTTCAATAGTTTCATCGAACTGCAAATCAAATCTCTTTCAGGAGACTCGATTTTAAAAAACTGCAAAAATTCAAAACAACCGCCATTCAAAGGTGCGGCTTCGTTTTTCATAGCAATAATGTAAATAAAAGACTTGAAATACTTCTCTTTAACGAGTCATTCCTTCTCAGTAATGTCACCGCTATGATAATTCAGTCGATATTCGTAAGTGTAACAAAAGTAACTCTTAATATCATGGGGGGGGGGTGTCTTGTAATGCGTTATCTAGATCGGTAGTTCTCAAACTTTTTGCCTTATGCACCTTTTTCACCATTCCTAATGGTTCTTTTTCTCCTTTTTAAAACTCGAAAAATACATATTTAAAATTTAGATTTTTTAATGTTTTAAAGAAAAAGTATACAAAATATCAATAAAAAATCTCAAAGCTTTCAGATTTTACATTACGCACAAAGAGGCTTTTTTAACGTTTTGTGTGTTACCTTTACTTATTAAATATAATGTTCTTCGCACTTAAATGATAAAATTCAGCTCAACGGCAATATCTCAAAATAATTTTAAAATGGGCATATCCTTAGAATTTCCGATACACAGTCTCGCGCACTGGAGATAATTTTTTTTTTTTTTTTTTTTTTTTTTTTTCTTCCGTATAATGTTGCCATTGCTCGCTTTGAAATCGTCGAGTTCGTTAATCAAAAATTCGTTGAAGTGTTACAAAATATGAAATCGATAATAAAAACATATTCCAAATTAGTGCTTCCAGATGCCCACGTTTGGTGAAGAATTACGTTATTCAAAATTGGATGGCTATAGGTAACGTTGTTTTATCACAATGCGAAAAACATAAATACACTTATGAAAATTCTTCATTACTGAATTTCTTTAAATGTAACACACGGTGATGATAATTGGCAGCAACAATTTGAAAAGTGACATGCCGTTTTTAGTGAACCAACGCAAAATGCAGAAACGAAATTAATAGTCCTTCTGGGCAAAGTGCCCCTTTAGACTAACAAAATTGGAAAATAAAGTTTATAAATTAAAACTAAACAACTAAATAAAAAGCAAACTAAAAGATCAATAAAAATTACTATAGAAGTATGAAAATCTATGAAAACTAAGAAACTAAAACTATGGAATTCCCTCCCCTCCTTGGTTGAGGATACCCGATCAAGAGTAAAAATTCGTTATTTAGAATGTATTGTTCACCTATCTCGACGATATATCTGACTAAGTCCTATGAAATAATGTTTCACATAAAATATGCTGTCGCTAAAAATGTGCTCCCAGGGCGGACTCCTCCCCCAGGTGCGCCGCTGTGCTGTTCCCACAATGCAGTGAGTTACAAACCATATCAATTAATTATCTACAAATATGAAACTAAAAATAAAAAGGAATTGATGATAATTTTACTACTTTCTGTATTAAAATATAATTATCACTAGATTATTTTATAATTATTACTAATTATTCTCTTTTTTTCCCTACACATAAATGATTTATTAGTCGTACATCTTCTAATCTTGTAATATTTTCATCAAAATGAATTAAATTTTATAAATTTTAACAGTATAAAACTTATGGAGATTAATAAAATTCAATCAATATATTATAAAATTTTGCTTGTTGTTTTTTGTTTAACTTATCAAATATTGTCGTTTCTTTATTTATTGTAACATTTTCGACACACTGAAATTTTGCTTACATTTGCTGTCTCAGAAGAAAAGAAAGACAATTCAAGATAAATTATGTTTAAAATTTAATTGCAGCAATGCATTGCATAAAGATGACTATAAATATATTTCTACAATTCAAATTAAAAAAACGGTACTTTTTCGTTTGGCCGGCGCAAATCTCGCCAAGCAGACTTTATTCGCGACAACATACAGTATACACATAAAAAATATTTAAAAAAATGTTAGTTCTAAAGAATTTTTTTTTTGAAGGCATAAACATTTTAATATAGCTTAAAAGTTTATAAAAAGCCAATAAATAAAGACAATGAATTTGTAAAAAGAGATTAATTTAAAAATTTACTATGATTTCATGGTTCAACATCCCGATTCGCCGGCTTCGTATCACGTGACCTAAAGTGATCTCATCTCACATAAACTACTGCTACAAAAATCTTAATTCTGTCTGTAATTATCTACATTAATTTCAAGTTAAATTTTAATTTTGAGTACAAGTTTGAAATGCAAGAATTATTTTAATGCGTACGAATAGCTTATTCAGAAATTATGTAAAACCTGCAGTGCTTTACTTCGGCTAGTGCAATTCTCATTAGGAATTGATGACATTAACTCCGGATTTTGCCTTTTCTACATTTTTGCTTTGGGGTGAGCGGTGTGATTGCATTCTAATTGACTTAATTATCGCGAATCGTCTTACGGCATAAAACTGAACTATCTGATAAAAATTCTATGTAATTATATGCCCGTGTTGAAAGAAACGATCAATCTGATAAGAAAAAGTTTTGAAAATGAGGCGTAAAAGGTTAGCAGCGAGAATATTCCGTTTGGCATCGGTTGTACCATTATTGGCGATTTTATCGCTTGCGCCGGCAAAACGGAAAAGTACCAAAAAACAATTTAATTTTTTTAGATATAAATCTTAAAATATGTGATAGTAGGCAAAAATGCCTTTTCCTTTCAAGTTTCATGCTGACCTCTGTTTTGTAACCTAATTTATTTTCAAATTCCTACTATTAGTTCACACTCTCCCTATATCTTGTTCAAATTTTCAGTCGTTAATAAAACACTTTTTATTCATCCACTTAAGTTCAAATACATTTTTTAAACTTATAATGGATGACACTTTATGTTAATACAGTTTTTTTCACATACTAAATTAGAAATTAAATTAGAAACGAAAAATTTTAATAAAAAGTAACTAAAATAAAAATTTTCTTAATTACAGAAGTTTTTTCCTAACAAATCAATAGAAAAATAATTTGTCTTCCACTTCTTGTCGAGTCAGTTACCTCGAG